AACAAAAAATAGCCAGGCATTGTGGCGGGCACCTGTAGTCCCAGGTACTTGGGAGGCTGAGGCAAGAGAATCACTTAAGCCCAAGAGTTGGAGTTTGCTGTGAGCTGTGATGCCACAGCACTCTACCGAAGGTGACATAATGAGACTCTGTCTCAAAGAAACCCAAAAAACTTAGGTTTCTGGGTAATGTAGAGGAAGTGAATATTAAGTTATGCTCAGTTATGTACCTTTTTTGCTTTTCTGTCCCTGTGGGGGATATGCCGTTAAGTGTGCAGCAAACAGCTTCCTCCTTGTAACCTGAGTGAAGAGGACCTATTACAGAACCCATACTTCAGCAAGCTGCTTCTGAGTCTCTCACAGCATGTGGATGAGACTGGCTTAAGCCTCACCCTGGCAAAGGAGCAGGCTCAGGTAAGGGCCCTGGGAGAAGAGAGGATAGGAAGAAGGGAAAATCCTCCTGTGGGGGAGGTTCTTACTTGAGATTTTTTGGTTTTCTAGGCATGGAAGGAAGTTCGACTGCATAAGACAACATGGTTGAGGTCTGAGATTTTACAGAGAGTCATTCAAGAGCTACTTGTAGATTACTATGTGAAGACACAAGACACAAATTTAACTTCTGAGGACAAAAAGGTAAGGCAGAAGAGATGAAGTGAGGGTTACTTACCACCTGTAGGAATGACCAGGCCAACTGTGGCTTGGATGATGTGATCTAGGAGAAATAGGAACTTTGAGAAATGGATTATCCACAAAGAAATGGAGAAGGAGCAGATTTATTGTTAGGGTTTGAAATAGAATGCTTGACAGGAGAAGGCACTTGCAGCTGAGGAGGTATTTGAAGAGGATGGCATGTTTGAAGACTTTGAACATGTGTGAAGAAGTGGTTCATGGGATGGAAGAGGTGGAGTGGGAGAAGTTTTATAGTCACCCCCTTCTTTTTAATTTTCTCTCTCTCTCTCAGTTTCATGAGACCCTTGAACAACGGCTACTTGTGACTGAACTGACACGGCTGTTAAATCCTAGCCAAGAGAAGGAAATACCTCCATTGCTAGGGCTGGAGAAAGCAGACCTTCTGGAACTTATGCCACCCTCAGAGGTTGGGAGTGGGCAGATATTGAGACCATAAGAGTGAATAGGTTCATTTTCCCCCTATCTTTAACATGTTTTTGTTAAGCTTTATTATTTTTGTAAAAATGATACACATTTAGGGTGGTCAAACTCAAATAAGAAAAACATTACATAGATGCAAATAAAAGCTGAAATACTACATCTGGAATCACAATACTGTTAATAAACAGCTTGGTATAAATGGTATATATTCCATGCTTGTGTACAGATTGCATAAGTCTATTTTCACATAATATATTTTGGACTTCTTTTCAAGTCAATAAATATAAATAACATGACACCTCCTTTAGCACTCTTTTTTTTTTGACACCAGAGTCTTACTAGGTCACCCTCAGTAGAGTGCCTATGGCATCATAGCTCACAGCAACCTCAAACTCTTGGGCT